TATATTAAGTTCACTTGCTTGCTTGCTTGCGCGCTTACGACCGTGCAAATCTTTCGGTCGTTTTTTAACCCACTTCCCGTGATCCAATCGAGCTGACATTTTGCACACAGACTCGTTGTGCGTGACAATTTATTTTCGTGAAATAATTTTTCCAAAATGTTACACTTTTTAGGAAAAAATAAATTATATTTAATTACCAATTGCTTAATGGTGGCAGGCAATCATCTGACCCATAGGTGGCAGCCATCTCAAGCCAGAAGACGAGAGGACTCTAGCCGCCACGCATATAAAGGATTTATAGTGAAAAACGTTTGTTTTTACGGGTTAATTTTTTTACTTACTGATTAATCCGTGTCACGCGGTTGTCCACTGCATCAGGTGAGTTACTGTCGGTAGTGATACAATCGCCACTCTTACGGAGTGTCACCCAGCACAGCCAGTCTTCAATAATAATTATAAGGGTCTTCATTTCTTCCAGCACGAGACACACATGTCTTCAGGGATTCCTTTCACTCCAAGCGTCCCGAAAACTCTCTCGGTTTCCCCTTCTCATATTACCCCTCAAGCCATCTTTCTCGAAGGTTCCTGAACCCGCTTTCCCTACAGCCCATCACCTTTCCACTTTTCCTCACGGATTCCAACCGTCCATCCCTGTCAATCATCCTCCGTTTTCTAGATTTGAAGCTTTCGTGACTGCAAGGATTCATACTCTTAGTTCTTTCGGTAAAGTCACGTAGGTAAAAAATGAAATTGAAATTAAGAAAAATAAAATAAAAATCACGACGTTTCGGAGGCAACACAAGTCTCCGTCATCGGGTGGGACCGTCACAGCCAGATTTGCTGCATCAAGTGGTGCATGAATTTAATTTTTTACCTACGTGACTTTACCGAAAGAACTAAGAGTATACCCTTCAGCCATCTTTCTCGAAAGTTCCTGAACCCGCTTTTCCCTACAGCCCATCACCCTCCCACTTTTCCTCATGGATTCCAACCGTCCATCCCTGTCAATCACCCTCCGTTTTCCCGTTCTTTCCATTTTGTATTTCTATTCCAATCCCCTTCAATTTCCCTGCCTCTAACCAATCCCCTTTCAGGCCCAGTTAAGTTATTACACGCTTTCATTTAACTGACTCTGTTGTTGTATCCTCAAATCTTGTAACCCAATTGTAACCCACTTCTCAATGTCGTATCGACTGCAAACTTGGTATACTTATGTCATACTGATGACAATACTATATTCTATCATTAAAATAAAATATTTTTAAACATTCTTTATACGCGCTTTAATTAACTCACTCTGTTGTTGTTGTCGTATCTTCAAATCTTGTAACTCAATTGTAACCCACTTCTCAATGTAGTATCGACTGAAAACTTGGTATACGTATGTCATACTGATGACAATACTATATTCTATCATTAAAACCAATCCCCTTTCAGGTCCTGCTAAGCACCGTTCAGTGAGGACTTGTTCTACCTCCCGATTGGCCAAGCCATGCACGCCGTGTCCATAACATCGGGTGAGTTTTTTCGGTTGCGATCGAATCTCAATGTATCTCAGTTTCCATGAGAAGTTGGAAGGGGTCATACTCTTAGTTCTTTCGGTAAAGTCACGTAGGTAAAAAATGAAATTAAAATTAAAAAAAATCACTGTAAAAAATGAAATAAAAATTACAAAAAATAAAAAATACAATTATTTTTATTTTTATTAATTTCATTTTTTACCTACGTGACTTTACCGAAAGAACTAAGAGTATGAATCCTTGCAGTCACGAAAGCTTCAAATCTAGAAGTTGGAAGGGGGTTTTGTTGTTGTTGTGGCCTACAACAGGCTTCTTAAAAAATGGCGTTCACTCGTGACATTAAGTAAGGCATCTTTATTTGAGGAAACTTAAAGTGGGGTGGGGGAGCAGGGAAGGGGTAATATGTTTTAAAATCGTTTTTTATTTTACTTCGCTCGGAAGTGTCTATGCATTTTATTTATTTCCTTGCTTTCCAAAGTTGCTCCCAAGGTAAGACGCGATCAATCTTAGGCGACAGTGCGATCGATTCACGGCGGGTTTACAAACGAACAGGCGAATTATAATTAACAACAACGCCGACAAATAACAAAAAAAAACGCGTAAAGAGAAAACCTCATGAGAATAAGAAGCTAAGCCCCTGTTGATATAAACTACCGTACATTATACTTTTTTTGTTTGTTAAACACAATATTTTTTCATCAAAGGTAATAAAAGCCACTCCCCGACCCAGTAGCCCCCTCTTTCCACTGCCACATCCGAGCCGAGCGAGCACGGTGTACGGGTACGTTTTCCACTATTCTCCGTGCAGAGCAGTGCTACACTGGCCTCCTTTCAAACCTTTCAACCCTTTACCATTCCGAGATGCCTGCAAGTTGCAGGGTGTTTTGGGTGTTCCGTTCACCGCTGAACCTCGAAACGCGCGCAAGCGATTCAGCGTTAATTTTCTCTCTGCACTCACCGCAGAGAACCGTAGCGTCTCGACCGTCACTCTACGATAGCTGGCCAAAAACTGTGCCGACACGCACTTCCCCCGCAGGGCCTTGTGGATTAAATAACTAAAATTGAATCACTGTATCAGTACGTCTTCAGGTCGGAAGTTATTTTATTTTAGTTTTTCTCCACATTCGTACACCTTACACGTACTTTTGGAGCTTTCGTGACTGCAGGAATTATTCTTTGGTTCTTTCGGTAAAGTCACGTATAAAGATATTTATTATTTTATACGTGACTTTACCGAAAGAACCAAAGACGAACCCTACACGTACTTCATCGTAACGAAATAGGAAGCAAATACAAATTTTTTTTTATGACGTACGTCATCGGAAATGGCAAAGGGTTAATGCATCTAGCTTCGCCCCAGGTCCAAGCAAGGCCAGGCCCAATGACACGACCATTGCTTGTGACGTCAATGGGTGACGCTGCGAGCGAACCCCGTCACCCGCACGCGCCTTGTTCGCGTGCGGCTGCGACGTCGCCGAGTGAGGAAACACCGATTGAAAAACCCGGCTACACCGGGCTACGAGACTCTGTACGGCCCAGGTACGGCTTCGGTTGTTGCCAGTGGGGGGGGCGTGGGGGGGGGGGGGAGAGGTACAAACAAAGAGGTTTGGAGTTCAAGAAGAGGAAAAAGAACCCGCTGGATTGGTCGCGTCACCACCCCCACAATAGTAGCATTTCTTCCGCCAACCTATAGCCGGGTTATAAGAGGCGCACATACATAAATAGCCGCTCTCGATAGATCAAAAAAGGGCGGCGTTAAAAAAAGGTGGGCCCCAAAAATAAAAAAAAATAATGGCCCCCATCCCCTGCTCCCTTAGAGCCGCCATGAAGGGCACGGGTGGGACGGTGGTGGAGGAGGAGGATGGTGGGGGGAGGGGGGGACCAGGGGGGGGGGGACAAGGCAAAGGAGGGGGGGGGTGCTGATGTTTAGGGGGCGAGTGGATAGGATGGGTGGATGTGGATTCTATTACGGGACAGTGAAATATGAAGTCAATCATAATCCCCGTGCGTGCGCACACACAAGGACACAGAGGGAGAGAGACACGTTCAGAGAGACACGCGCAGGTTCACAGACACACGCGCAAACACACGCACGTTCACAGAGACACGCAGGCACGCAGACACACACACGAGACACACATCGCAAGCGCAGAGACAGATGCACGCGCGTGCGAGTTCAACGCGCGTGCGACGTTCACGCGCCGACGAACTGGGAGGCGAATTTAGGAGCCGGTGGCCAAGCAGAAGAGGGGAAAAGCCGAAACGGGAACGAGCCGGACCACTCGCAGGAGCGCGTGTCGTCGGTACGCACCTAGAACGTCGCTCTCCACCGTAACGCGGCCAAACGTGCGCTCAAATCGGAGGGTGCGACGCTGTCCCCAACGTCTGACCGCATTAGCCACCGCGTGCCGAGTGACTTTCGAACCGCGCGGCATGGCGATATTTGGGGGTGGCGAAATGGAAGGGGGGAAAAAACAAAACGGATAGGTTCGCGCGGCAGCGAAATCGCACCGAGCGAGGGGAAACCTGAAGCAGCGGTCGGCACTGGGACACGCGGAGAGATGGCGCTGCGCATCGTCCAGCGGCGTAGCTGTCGAGTGTGCAGGCGGTGGAACTGCACCCGTGTCCCCCCCCACCTATCGGACCACAGGGCCATGTTATTCATTGTACTGGGAGGGGGAGGGGGGGTCACCACGGCCAACTGTGCCCACCGGGGTGTCGTCCGTTAAGAATAAAAACGACGGGTGGCCCCCAAAAAAAAGTTCGTGGCATTTCAGAGAATTCGGTAAAAGGGGCCCAAGTCCCTCCGCCGTCGAGTCGACCACAATCGGGGCGGGTTCAGCCAGACAGCCAAAAGGGTTGCGGGACAAACTTGAACGTGCTGATAGTGGAGGGGGAGCGAGAGAGAAAGAGAGAGCGTGAGAAGCAACGCGATACGATGGAAAGTCTCCCGGAGTAAGTGGGCCACGCGCGTCTGGCTGCCGATTGGCACCGGCTACTGCCGCCGCCGCCGCCGCCGCCGCTACTACCCGCTGGGCTAATTTCTTCTTAAACTGTTTACACATCAAGCGCGACGGGCCCACGTAATGGCTTTTGTAATCATTGTTGCCGAGATCGAGTCTTAAAAATAATCTGTCCCCGAAGCCGATATAGACTTGACGGCGCTCGTGAACGACGCCGGGCGTGGAGCTGGCGGCCACCGCGCTTTTACAACCGGGAACCGTGAAGCGCCAAACGGACGATTCGGAACGCGCGGGAGGGACAAGTTTGCGTGATATTCTTGGTTCTTTCGGTAAAGTCACGTAGAATGGAAATAATAAAATAATAAAAATAAAACATAATAAAACAATTTTCACGACGTTTCGGCCACAACGCAAGCAGCCGTCCTCAGGTGAAAACCAGGTCCGTCACCTGAGGACGGCTGCTTGCGTTGTGGCCGAAACGTCGTGAGAATTGTTTTATTATGTTTTATTTTTATTATTTTATTACTTCCCTTCTACGTGACTTTACCGAAAGAACCAAGAAGATGAATCCCTGCAGTCACGAAAGCTTTAAATCGAAATTTAAGTTTGCGTGAATGCGCGACGTCGATCGCCCTGTGCGCGAGAGAGACCCAGCAACCCCGCGCCTCCCCCCCCATCACCCCCCCCCCCACCACCAAAGCCAACCGGACAAATACATCGCGCGGGCGGACACATTCGCGACCCCCCCCCCCCCCACCAATTAAGAGAGAGCACACGAAGGAGCTACGTAGGAATGCAACGTCACAATATCCCCCCCGCCCCCCCGCTGGCTGATCAACCACCCACAGCGCGTGACGAGGGGGGGGTGGGTGGGGGGGGGGGCGTCCGTGGAAAACAGAAGAGCTTCATGGCTCATCGGATTCCATGCAGCAGCAGGAGAAAGATGACGATGCTGTAGGAGGCGGCGATCCTCCAACGGACGCTCTCCGCAAATCCGTACCGACCGTCTCGCCGCTCACGCACACACGCGCACACGCGCACACACACACACGCACGCACACAGACACACACGCATACACGCGCACACACACGCACAGACACACACACGCACGCACACGTACACACACACGCACACACGCGCGCACAAAGCGCCTGGACGCAAAATGAACCGTGATACCTCGCCACCGCCGATCTCGTCAAGGAGAGCGAAAACAAACCAAACAAAAACGCCACCACGTGACACTCCGGGGTCACCATCACCGCAGCGACAGCGGGCAGCAGCAGCAGCAGCAGGGGGGTTTTGGCCGAGCCGCCGGTCGAAGCGTCATCGAGCGGCGCTTTCGGATGCGCCTCTGCGGCCCGTCTCTCCCCTTCCGATACTCGGAAGCCACTGTGAGCTTACGCAACGTTTAAATCGCCGTCTCGATTGACACACTCGTTTCTTTAGCGATACAGGTCGTCGTTCTTGGCGGGTTAGATCGCGCAAATATCAATGTTGTGTCGTTAAACCCGCCACCACCCCCCCCCCCCGACACAGCACAACTAGTAACGGTTGTCACGTAAACAGAACTTGCCGATTCGTCACTAGTACAGCACTAAACCAGTTGTGTGTTGGGGAGCAAATCCACAACATTTTCCACGTTTCGCCAGGAAGTACAACCGGCATCATCAGGCGGCAGCCAGATGTACACGATCATCAATTTTGGTCCCGAAAGCCTACCCGTTACAACTCATTCCTTGAGAACTGATTTTTTGTCTCCAGCTTGTCGCCATCCCCCCCCACCCCCCGCCGCACCTGCGATAAGAGCGCGGTTTGGCTACGCGCGGTGCGAAAGAAGTTCAACACATGGACGTACGTTCGCGAGATAATAAACGGCAAAGTTCGGAGCAGTTTTTTTTTTACACCGCATTCATTTTTTGCCCAGCAACCCCCACCGGTACGTGCTGGCCGTTGCGTGCCGTTGTTTTATACCGGTGTTCACACATCCGCCCCGAGCCTCCCCAGCGAGTCGGATACGTGACGGAGTGGCTCACCGTCAACATTATCGTCGTTGTTGTTGATGTTGTTAGCGCGACATTAACAGCTACAAGTCCTTGACGACCGGACTGGGAGCAGACAATGAGCTGGGTGGGGGTTTCAACGCCAGCCACCGTGGTCAAGCGTGGTCAAGCGTGGTCCATCATGGTCCATCGTGGTCCACCATGGTCCACCATTGGTCCACCCACGTGCCACCTCCCAACCATCAGCCCACAGATGCGGCGTAAACCAGCCGACGCACGGACTCCGACGACTCGGGGAGAGGGGGGGGGGGGCCTCGACGACTGGAGTGGAAGGCAGCCGCTGGGAAATTCACGCACGGCCAAACGCTCCGTCCTTTCACCTGTCCCGTGTATTTGTCCATGTGTTCGTCTGTGTGCCAGTCCACGTGTGTGTCCGCGTGTCCGTGCGTCGGTGCGCCCGTCTGTGTGTCTGTCCAAGAGTTCGTCTGTCCATCCGCGTGTATGTCCCTGTATCCGTCCGTCAGCCCCCTCTCCGTCGACCTCTGCGCTCTGCGAGTAGTGTGTGGGGCACATTCGCCGTGGCCCGGCTACTGCTCGCTCTCCTCGTGCTCCGAGCCTCCTCCTGGGGACACAGACAGAAGGCACAGCAGGGTTAAAAGTCAACGCCGGGTTAAAGGTCAACGCCGGGTTAAAGGTCAACGCCGGGTTAAAGGTCAACGCCGGGTTCACCGGTAGCCACGATCAATCCAATGCTGCACCAACACCACCCTATGTGTACGTTCAACTTCTTTCGCGCCCTACGTAGCCAACCGTGCTTAATCGGAGGTGCGGGGGAAGGACAACTAACTAAAACGAAATAACTGAGTTTTCAATCGACATTTAAAAGTGGCACGGCTCCAAGTGGCTGCCTAATATCGGAAGGGAAGAGCGTTCCAGACGGCCGCAGGAGCGCATCCGAAAGCGGCGCGCGACGATGCGTTGACCGCCCTCTTCATCCGACGGCCGAGCGTGAACACCGATGGACGATGGCGGTGAGAGCCGCGTACAGACGCCGCACAGAGTGGCCACCACGTGGTCGTATTGATGGATGGGGGATGGTGGGGGGGGGGGTGGTATTGGCATTGTTGGTTGGTGGTAGGGAGATGGTGTCGGTGGTAGTGTTGGTTGTGTTGATAGCCGTGTTGTTAGTGGCGTTAGCGGTGGTGACGGTGTTGTTGGTGTTAGCGTTGGTGTTGTTAGCGGTGGCGTTGGTGGTGTTGGTGGTGTTGGTGGTGTTGTTGTTGGTGGTGTTGGTGATGTTGTTAGTGGCGTTAGTGGTGGTGACGGTGTTGTTGGTGTTGGCGTTGTTAGTGGTGGCATTGGTGGTGTTGTTGGTAATGTTAGTGGCGTTAGTGGTGGTGACGGTGTTGTTGGTGTTGGCGTTGTTAGTGGTGGCATTGGTGGTGTTGTTGGTAATGTTAGTGGCGTTAGCGGTGGTGGCGGTGTTGTTGGTGGCAGCGTTGGTGTTGTTAGCGGTGGCGTTGGTGGTGTTGTTAGTGATGTTAATGGAAGTGACGGTGCTGTTGGCGTGGCCGTGTTGTTCGCGGTGCCGTTAGAAGCAAAGGCACGGCTAGGATCTCTCCCCGCCCCTCCCCGCCCGTGCCCGCGCCTCCGCTCGTGCCCCTGGGAGGAGGCCTCACTCGGCACGGACAGCGTTGGCGCTTGCCTCGTGTCAAGGTCGCGCCCGAGCGCCGGGCGGTACGGAGACCCCACCTCACCCCGAGCCACCCCGGGTGCATCATGCCCCACCGTGCCCCACGCGACCCGCTAGCCACGGTCACTACCCCTAACCCTGAGCCGATGATAGCCATCCCAGCAGTAGATTCACAGGGCCTGAATCCATTATTTACTCTTGTTATTATTAAAAAGTGTAATTTCCCGTTACGTGACGGGCATATTCATGCCGCAAATGATCCAGTGTGTCTTGACTATGCCGATGACGCCATCTCTCCGTTTAACCGGCGCCTTCTTTCGTCTGCAGACTCTTCTGGATTCATCGGAATGAAATCTAAATGAGCGACTTGACGCACTGAATGGAATTTACTCCGAGATTAACTCGTGACAAATCTGTATATTAAGAATGACGACTGTAAATGACCGCTATTGTAGCGTTCTAAGAGCCGTTTGAGTTACCCTTTCTATCAGGAAGAAAGTACACAAACTATGCTTCAATTCAAATTTTGATTTTCCCCAAACTTACATTTTTTCCTCGCATGCGAGAGTGAATATAAAAACCTAAACCATTGTGTTGGTTGCGAATGTGAGCGGGAATATCCAAATATAAACCATTGTGTTGGTTGCAGGAGTGATTTAATTATTATAAGTACTTTACTATCAGGTTTAATCGGTAAAGTCACGTAGGTAAAAATAAAAAAATTAAAATTAAAATAATAGAAATAATATAATTAAAATAATAATTTTAGTTCTATTATTTCCATTATTTTTATTTATTATTATTTATTTTTACCTACGTGACTTTACCGAAAAAACCTGAGAGTATGAATCCTTGCAGTCACGAAAGCTTCACATCTAGAATTATAAGTACCGACTTACTGGATTCTGTATCGATGTGAATACAAAAAGATTAACCATTTATAAACCGGAAGGACAGGGCCGGTGTTCATTAACGTTCATAAATTTTCGCTACAAAATGTGAGCAGAAGCTCGCTTTTACATAAAAACTAATTTGCTGAATTGACGTGAATTTTAAGAAATGTTTAAACCGTAAGCGCGGGCCAAAAGTCGCTCAGGTGGAAACAAAAAAAAAAACCATTGTCACGCACAAATATTAACCGAGTATTCCTGGGTCTTTTGGTAAAGTCACGTAAGATAGGTTCAAATAAAATAAGAAAAAATAACGAAAAAAACGACGTTTCCACACTTTTCCTGAAGACGACCAGCTTGTGTTGCGATCGAAACATCGCAGATTTTTGTTTTCTTTTTGGTTATTTTCTTTGAACCTATCTACGTGACTTTACCGAAAGACCCAGGAACACGAATTCCTGCAGCCACGAAAGCTTTAAGTCAAGAATTAACCGGGTAGATTCTTTATTAATTGTTATTGTTCCGTAATCGTGGTGGGCAAAACGCAAAGATGCAACACGAAATGCAAGAGGCATGCAACTTGGCTTTTACCCAAAGCGCCGCTGGGCATATTCTTTTTGGAGAAAATTGATTATTCTTGTAACAAACTCATAACACTGGTCAACACACTTTTTCTGGCATGAGGTATTCCAACGGTTTTAATGTAATTTTGGGGTGCCGATTCCAAATCTGGCATCAGTTTTTGTCTATCACATCAGGTTTTTGAGATATCAAATATTGCATTTTCAATAAAAACTGCAGAAGAAAAATATTAGATAAATCGTGGATATCTACATAAAATGATATTATAAGCACACTATCCTAAAATACAGTACCATATTTTAACACAAAATCAGCCACTGACTCGCAACAATTTGCAATCATAAGTGACAGAGCTAATTTCGGGTAAAATCAATGAAAATGGGGTATGCCGATAGCATAACAATGAGATGTGATAGAGCAAATCTGAGATCAGATTTGGAATCGGCACCCTGAAATTAGTCTAAAACAGCTGCAAAAGTCCAGGCCAGAAAAAAATGTGTTTTTTTTTGTTGACCAGTGTAATTAAGGAAGAATAATACGCCTTTTATATGAACAAAAATTGCATGGAAATCCGCGTAGCCAAGCCGGTGGCGTTACACGCAGCGCTACGGAGTGGTCAGGTGTGCGTGAGGCACAGACCACCAAAACTATACTTATAACAGAGGTCGCAACCGGGTACCCGATACCCGTACCCGGCCGGGTAGGGTACGGGTACGGCCGGGTACGGGTACCCATTTGCGACCCTGGTGCGGCCGGGTACGGGTAAGGAATCAAAACCCGTTTGTGACCTTTGACTCATAATGGTGCCATGGTTTGGCCCCACGAAATGTTTGCCTTGAGCATCAGTGGGGGGGGGGGGGGGGGTGCCACTTCTAACGGGCAAACAGACAAGGGGGGGGGGGGGGGGCTCTGTAAACCTCCTGCCACCTAGTCGCCCCGAATGTGCCACCACATCTCTGGCGGGGGGTAGAGGGGGGCACGGTGGGCCTTCATCCATTCCCTACCCCCCGGCAACATCCGATTAGCAACGATTGGCTACGTACGGTGTGAAAGAAGTTCAACATACAGTACATACATAGACTCACGCAGAGACCCATAGACTCACGCAGAGACTCATAGACTCACGCAGAGACCCATAGACTCACGCAGAGACTCATAGACTCACGCAGAGACTCAGACTCACGCAGAGACCCATAGACTCACACAAAGACCCAGACACACACACAGACCCATACACTCACATAGAGACCAATAGACTCACACAGACACCCATAGATTCACACAGAACCCCATAGATTCACACAGACACCCATATATTCACACAGAGACCCATAGACTCACGCAGAGACCCATAGACTCACACAGACACCCATAGATTCACATAGACACCCATAGACACACACAGAGACCATAGCCTCACACAGAGACCCATAGACACACACAGAGACCCATAGACACACACAGAGACCATAGACTCACACAGAGGCCCATAGACTCGCACAAAGACCCATAGACTCATGCAGACACCCATAGTCCTTGCCCACTCCCCGGCACCTCCGATTAGCACAGCTGGCTATGTACAACACGAAAGAAGTTCAACATGCCGCACACACAGCAATTTGAAACAAGAAACCAGTCCCTCCCCCCAACAAAGAGAGGCATGGAGGTGGTGGGGGGCATGGGATGGACGTACTGACCGCCCGGTTAATCGTCCGCGCAGTGAACATTCTGTCTACCGCTGCGCACTGTGATTGATTTGGTGCTAATGTGCCACGCGGGGGGATGACGCCGTTGGGACGCGCACTCACACAGAGACCCACAGACTCGCACAGAGACCCGTAGACTCACACAGAGACCCACAGACTCACACAGAGACCCACAGACTCACACAGAGACCCACAGACTCGCACAGAGACCCACAGACTCACACAGAGACCCGTAGACTCACACAGATACCCAGAGACTCACACAGAGACCCACAGACTCACACAGAGACCCATAGATTCACACAGAGACCCAGAGACTCACACAGAGACCCAGACTCACACAGAGACCCATAGACTCACACAGAGACCCATGGACTCACACAGAGACTCACAGACTCACACAGAGACCCACAGACTCACACAGAGACCCACAGACTCACACAGAGACCCACAGACTCACACAGAGACCCACAGTCTCACACAGAGACCCATAGTCTCACACAGAGACCCATAGATTCACACAGAGACCCAGAGACTCACACAGAGACCCAAACTCACACAGAGACCCATGGACTCACACAGAGACCCACGGACTCACACAGAGACTCACAGACTCACACAGAGACCCATGGACTCACACAGAGACCCATAGACTCACACAGAGACCCACAGACTCACACAGAGACCCATAGACTCACACAGAGACCGAGAGACATTCACAATCATGCACTCGCTCGGTCACTCGCTCACTCAATCACTCGCTCGGTCACTCAATCATTCACTTGCTCGCTCACTCAATCAATCATCCACTCGCTCGCTCGCTCGCTCACGCACTCACGGCTCTCGCCCGCTCGCAGCTGCTCAGCGGCACGCAGCGACACAAAAACCGCCGCCCCCCCCCCCCCCCACATCGCTCTAACCCCCCCCAGCCCCCACCCCGGCACGGCGCGAGAGACAGACGATACCGTCGCGCGCCGCGGCGACGTTTGGAAACATTGAGCTCGTCCAGGATGTCCCAGCGGCAGATGCCTCGAGCAGCAGGACATCCCTGGGGGGAGTTTGGCTGCAGCATGGATGGCAGCTGACAGCATCCACTCTCTCTCTCACTCACTCTCACTTTCACTCACACTCTCTCTTACTCTCTCTCACTCACACTCTCTCTTACTCTTTCACTCACTCTCACTCACTCTCTCTCTCTCACTCACTCTCTCTCACTCTCACTCACTCACTCTCTCACTCACTCTCACTTTCACTCACACTCTCTCTTACTCTCTCTCACTCACTCTCTCTCTCACTCTCTCTCTCACTCTCTCTCTCACTCTCCCCTGTCTCTCTCTCCCCCCCGTCTCTCCCCTCTCTCTTTTTTTGCTTTTGATTCTCTACTTTTTTCACTTTTAGATTTTTTTTATTTTTTTTATCAGCACTTTTTCTTATCTTTTTTATTTCTTTTGCTTTTCTATTTCTCTCCTCAGTCTCTCCCCATCTCTCCTCCTCCCCCTGTCTATCCCCCCATCTCTCCGTCTCTCCTCCTTTATGTCCCTCTCTCCTCCTCCTGTCTCTAGCCCCTCTCTCAACTCTCTCTCTCCCTTGTCTCTCTCTCTCCCCCCTCTCTCTTGTTCACTCGTTAACGCGCAATCGAGCGCGGGCCCACGTGGCTTACCACCACCGCCACCACCAGCACCGCCACCACCACCAGCACCGCCACTGTCACCACTGCCACCACCGCCACTGTCACCACCGCCACCACCAGCACCGCCACCACCACCAGCACCGCCACCACCGCCACCGCCGCTACCACCAGCAGCGCCACCACCAGCACCACCACCAGCACCGCCACCACCACCAGCACCGCCACCACCGCCACCGCCACCACCGCCACCACCGCCACCACCAGCACCGCCACCACCGCCACCACCGTCACCACCAGCACCGCCACCACCAGCACCGCCACCACCAGTACCACCACCACCACCGCCCCCACCACCACCGCCACCACCAGCATCACCACCACCAGTAAGCAGTACCATGAAAGGAACTCGTGAAAATCCTTCAAGTGTATATTTAAGGACAGCTAATCCGCAAGTTGTATGTTTCAACGTAGTTTGACTGGGCAATTTGGCTTAAGGGCCGTTTAATTGTAACACAAAACAATGACAAAGATCCCCCGTGTAGCCTTCGCAGACTGCTGGGGCAAGTGCTGTTAACGAGCACCTATAAAGGCCGGCACGGCACACGAGGGGGTGGGTGGCCAGCACCGCGCCCGGCCGCCTTTGTCTCCCTACTGGCGATGATTTTACTACACACAGCACCCAGGTACTCATTTGAGGCCGAGTCTACCTAGGGGGAGGCCCAGGACCGGTTCAGATGATCGTCACTGGGTGGTGGCCGTGAGCGGGAATCGAACCCGGGTTGCCAGGTTCGGAGCGAAGCGCGGCGCTAACCGCTGCACCACCACTCCCACCACCACCACTACCGCCACCACCACCGCCACCACCGCTCCCCACCACCACCGCCACAACCACCGCCGCTGCCACCACCACCACCACCGCTCCCCACCACCACCACCGCTCCCCACCACCACCACCGCTCCCCACCACCACCACCACCGCCACCACCGCCACCACCGCCGCCACCGCCACCGCCACCACCACCACCACCACCGCGGGTTATTTTTACCCCTCGCCCGCGTCCCTCTCTCGTCCAGAGCCACGGCTTCCAGAGTGGCTGCGGGAACACCGCAGGGGGGGTGGGAAGGGGGTGGGGGGGGGGAATCGTCGCTCGGCGTCGCGGTCGCCCCACCGGCATCGGCACTGCCGCCGATCGAACGTCGTCGACCGTCGATCCGATTACCGGAGCGTGCGTCTGTGTGCGTGCGCATGCGTGTGTTTGTTTGTGTGTGCGCGTGTTTGTGTGTGTGTGTGCATGTGTGTGTGCGTGTGCGCGTGTGTGCACATACGTGTGTGTGTGCGAATGCGTGCCACATGCGCGTGTTTGTGTGCATGCGTGTGTGCGTGTGCGAATGCGTGCCACGTGCGTGCCGCGTGCGCGTGCACGTGCGCAATTTCGACTTCCCGCCGTGCAAAGCTGCGTCGGGGCCGCGTTACCGCTACCCCCCCCCCGCCTGCCCCCCCCCACCGCGTGCCCCCCCCGCCTGCCCCCACTGCAGTATCACATTGTGCTGAACAACATCGAAGTCTTAGCGCGACGCAAATAATCCGTCGCTCTCGCGCGCGTTTTGCGAGTTGCCGTGCCAGGCGACATCCGTGGCGTATTTATAATGATGCACGCCGCGCGCGGTCGCTCACGCGCGGCGTATCGGTCCGATAAATACGAGAATCCGAATATTTATTTAGATCTTTGGGCCAAGGGGGAGAGCACTCATTACCCGGTCGCCTAAAAAAAACGGACTGCGACGGAATCGCCGATCGTGCCGATATCAGCCAATCAAAAATATGAATACACGAGAGCCGTAGTCACACGACGCTTTGCTGACCGATGGGATACATCGGTCCGTGGGTCGATTGCGAATCAATCGACGCGGCGATCAACCCGGCAAAACATCCATGTTGATGTGATAGCCACGTCGCTTCTGAAGAAGAGCTGTTATATTATAGCAGGTCAGTGTGGACCTTGGTAAAATAAAAATATAGAGTTAAATAAAAATAATAAACACTTTCTTCTATACTATGAGACCTCCTTTTCCAGTGGCAAAATATAGTGATAGGTTTTTACCCTTTCAACTGGTACAAAAACTGACAGCTTTATACAAGGAATCATGTTTGCAATAACCACAACACAAGCAGTCAAAATGTCTTTGAGTTGTACGCCTTTTGGCGTCATCTGGTCCAACACCAATGGAGACTAGGCTCTAAGAAAAGCTGTCTCGGGTGTGGACCAATCAACTTCAAGGACGGTGCATATCATTATCATCATCAGAGTTGTTTCTTTTTGTTTGCATTTTGACTGCTTGTGTTGCGGTTATTGCAAACATGATGCCTTGTATAAAGGTGTCAGTTTTTGTACCAGTTCAAAGGGTAAAAACCTATTACTACTACTCTCTTCTATATATGCGCGTGTCCAATTGTATTCTAGATTTGAAGCTTTCGTGACTACAAGGATTCATATTCTTAGGTTTTTCGGTAAAGTCACGTAGGTGAAAAAAAATTAAAATTAATAAAAGTATAATAAAAAATTAAATAAAAATCACGACGTTTCGGAGGCAACACAAGCTTCCGTCTTCAGGTGCAATTTTTATTTTATTTTTATTTTACTTTTATTAATTTTAATTTTTTTGCCTACGTGACTTTACCGAAAAAACCTAACAATACAATATGTCCAATTGTATGTTGTACTACAGCGCCCCCACGTGGCAAATACGCGTCGTACCAGCTGCGTCTGTTCAGAATCAAAACATTTATTTATTCACACTGGAGGAATCCGATGAGCTCTCAAGCTCTATTTGCTCTTCCTTCACAAGATATCCGGTGAACAGTTGCCGCTGTGAGTGGGACGTCCGCTTCATGACGGACACCGCGACTGCCCGATAACTAGCGGTCGCCTCAACCCCCCACACGCGCACTCTCACACTTCACGTCGCCGACGGCATCGGCGACGTCCGCCCCTTTCCTCGCCGTCCGTCTCCTCTCAAGCCATCACCACCACCACGGCCACCACCGCCGCCGCCGCCACCACCGCCACCACCGCCACCACCGCCGCCACCACCGCCACCACCACCACCACATGCCTCCCTCCAGCATCGGATCGATCGTGGCCGACGACGACGACGATGACGACGATGCTGCGTGTGATTGTCTACTTCCAGGGCCCACGGCCCGATCGCCCCCCTGTGGACCGGTGGCGGAGTCGACCCGTGTGGCGCCAACTCACCGTTCGCGAAATGGTTGTCGCCGGCGGCAGAGTCGATGGGGACCTTCTCGTACTTGCCGGGAGCCACCATCACGAACTTGAAGCGCTTGCCGCTGGGGTTGCCCTGCCAAGCGAAGGGCAGGCGGGCAAGGCGGTGAGCGAGTGGTGAGAGCGAGAAAGTGAGCGAGTGAGTAGTGAGCGAGGAGTGAGTAGCGAGTGAGTGAGTGGCGAGCGAGTTGCGAGCGAGTGAGTAGTGACTAAGTAGACAGTGAGTAGTGAGTGAGTAGTGAGTGAGTAGCGAGTGAGTGAGTAGTGAGTGAGTGAGTAGTGAGTGAGCGAGTAGTGAGTGAGTAGCGAGTGAGTGAGTAGTGAGTGAGCGAGTAGTGAGTCAGTAGCGAGTGATTAGTGATTGAGGAGTAGTGAGTGAGTAGCAAGCGATCGAGTGGCGAGCGAGTGAGTAATGAGCGATTGAGTCGAGAGTGAGTAATGAGTCAGTTAGTGGTGACTGAGTGAGTAATGAGCAAGTCGCGAGCGATTAGTGAGTAGTGAGTTAGTAGTGAGTGAGTGGCGAGCGATTAGTGATTGAGTAGTGAGTGAGTGAGTAGTGAGTGAGTAGCGAGTGATTAGTGATTGAGGAGTAGTGAGTGAGTAGCGAGCGAGTAGCGAGTGAGTAGCGAGTGAGTAGCGAGTGAGTAGCGAGTGAGTAGTGAGTGAGTGAGCAGCGAGTGAGTAGTGATTGAGGAGTAGTGAGTGAGTAGCGAGTGAGTCACCTTGCTGGGAGCTGCAGCTGATTTCTCCGGTGGGCTGCCAGCGCTCGGCTTACTTTCCCAGATGCTCTTCTTCGTGGAGACATCACCCGGTCGGATGTCCTGCACACCAGCATCAACATGATCGTCATCATCGTCATCGACGTCTTCATCATCATCGACGTCTTCATTGTCGTCGACGTCTTCATCATCATCGACGTCTTCATCGTCGTCATCGTCGTCATCATCGTCGTCATCATCATCATCGTCGTCGTCATCATCATCATCATCGTCATCATCGTCGTCGTCATCATCATCGACGTCATTATCATCATCATCGAAATTGTCATCACGAGACATCAGGATCTCTGAGTCTGCGGACATTTAAAAAATGCGCCTTAAAATCTTTCATACGTTTCTACATATTAAATGTTTAGTTCATTTAGTAAATAGTTTTTAAGATGTATTTATAATATTATTGTTATGCTGATTGTCCTGCTGCTCCTGTACAGCGCTTTGAGATCCTTGATGCAAAGCGCTATACACATATAATTACTTCCATCGTCGTCATCATCGTCGTCACCGTCGTTATCACCGTTATCATCGTTACCGTCATCATTATCGTCGTTATCAACGACATCGTTATCATCAACGTCACCACCATCGTCGTCAGAGGGGCCACCGTCCCCAACATTCTCCCCATCAACGTCGTGAGTGTCACATCGTCATCACCGTCACCACCAATATCCCATTAACTGCATCTCGCAGTGCACTTTGCACGCAGTGCGTCTCCCTGCTCAAAACGAGCAGGCATTCCACGTTCTCATGGCGGTGGGGGCAAGCCCATCCATCCAATTATTATCACCGTTAAACTTCCCGCAATGTGGTGGTGGTGGTGGTGTTTATCAACCCCAGGAGGACGATTGGCCGACTCAATGTTGACCTGGTTTTGAAGTCCTCGCCCCGGTGACACAGCAAGTGCACGGTGCGCAGGCCAGTGGGTTAGTCTCACCGCACACTTTGATATGTCACCCAGCAAGCGAGGAACGTTGGGGGGCGGGGAAGGGGGGGGGTGCAAACGTCGAGCCGACGTTGCCCCAACGTTAAGCCGACGTTGGGGCAAGCTCACCGGGTCAGTCCTGGTGAGCTCGCGAAATTAAATGTAACGCAACAACTTGCGTGCCCATGCTCACCGGCGGCGCGTGTTAACTCGGCGCCAGAGTTGGGGTTTTAAGCGCGCGATTTTTGTTGTTGCTATAAACAAACAAAAGGCAAACGGAAAGGGTCAAACCCCCACTTGGGCGTTGTAGATTCTCACCTCTCGCCCGCTAAATTCTCAAATCTGACGAAAGAGAAGACACGCCGCACACACCAACAAAAGACAAAGATCCCACTCCCCCCCGCCCCCCGTTGCAGCCTTAACCGGCGTTTTGGGAAAGTGCTGTTTACGAGGAGGCACCGATGAAGGCCGGCACGGCACGCAAGTGGGTAGGTGGCCAGCACCATGTCCGTCCACCGTTGTCTATACATACGGCACTAGTACTGGCTCAGATTATCGTCACTGGTGTTGGTGGCTGACCCTGAACCAGGCCCGAGTGTTGGAGGCGGAGCCTGAACCAGGCCCGAGTGTTGGAGGCTGAGTCAGAGCCAGGCCGCGTCTCAGGGTACGGCTCAGAAAAGAGTCTCAACGCTCTTCTCTATAACCCCCATGTACGTCTCTGTACCACGACGCACTCCTCTGTGCCCCCAAGTCCCCCGTGTACCTGTCTGTACCACGGTGTACGCCTGCGGGTACCCCCCTCTCTGTACACTGTGTACCAACTCTGAACTTGCGCGTGATCCTCGGTGCCCCTTCTGTATCCCCGTGTACCACCACGCACTTCTGTGTACCCCTTGTGCACCCCTGTGTGTGTGTACCCCCGTGAGCTACGTACGGAGGGACGGGCGGCGCTCCCCTTAGCGGTTCCCTCCTCGTTCTTGTTGCTCCACTGGCTGATTCGGCTCGCGATGCCGACGTTCAAACCCGACACGTCCTGCGGGGAGACATGGGAGAAACATGAGACACACGCAGGGAGACGCGGGGATACAGGGGAGATACAGGGGACACACACAAGGACATGCGGGGACACAGGAGAGACACAGGAGATGCACATGGACACCTGGGGACACAGGGGAGGTACAGGACACACACACACGGACACACGGGGACATGGGGGGGTACAAGGGAGACACGCAGGAACACACGGGGACACACGGGGAGGTGAAGGGGATAGACACAGGGCCAGAGGGGAGGTGCAGGGGACACACAGGGACATGCGGGGACACAGGAGAGACACGGAGGAAGATGTGGGGACAGGCGGAGGCTCAGAGATGATGCGAAGGAGACGCACAAGGAAAATACGCACGGAGACCAAGGGGGGGCACATAACGACACACGGTTTACTCCGTATTCTGGCACAGGGAAATTGAGTTATCAAGTCAATACGGCGTACAGCCAATTCAATACGGGCAAAAACATTTTTGTTTGTCTATCCGTTTGTGTTTCTCCCTTGTGATGGGACTTTGTAGGATGAACGTTGAGTTTTATAAGGGGCACGGGGTGACCAATAAGGTCTAGAATTGGTCTCTAATAAGGTAGGGCACTGATAAGGCATTGACAGCTGTGCTCCTTTCACCGACTGTGCGTGACGAATGAATGGACGGTCTAATTAAATTAAACTAAAACGTGGAACGTCAACGAAAGCATTTCCAGAAGAAAATCGAATAATTCAAACCGCATTTTAAGTAAGTTTTTGTGTCTTCTTCTACACCCGTTGTTGAAAACAAATCTCACGGTGGTTGTCAAGGAAGGGGGCCCCCCCCTCCGAACTCGTAGCTTTGAGGGGGTGTCAAGGCACCCCCTCCACCCCCCCCCGCCCCCCCGCGCACGTCAGGTGACCACGGAGGGCCATACCCGGGTGGGGTTGCCACGTGGCGAGGTTGGAGAGGCCACGTCGCCGCGCTCGAAGAGGCTCTTCCTGAGCGCCACGCTGTCCGCCGGCAGGGGAACCTCCACCGCCAGCGGGCGCACCACCCTGCCGGAGCCTCGCACTGCACTCTGCTGCACCGCGCAACGGAGCACGCGCACACAGACACACAGACACACAGACACACAGACACACAGACGCACAGACACACAGACACACAGACACACAGACACACAGACACACAGACACACAGACACACAGACGCACAGACGCACAGACACACAGACGCACAGGTGCTTCCATGTAGCCCACAGACCCGTAGACTCACACAGAGATCCATAGACTCACACAGAGACCTGTAGATTCACACAGAGACCCATAGACTCACAGAGAGACCCGTAGACTCACACAGAGACCCGTAGATTCACACAGAGACCCGTAGACTCACACAGAGACCTGTAGACTCGCAAAGAGACCCATAGACTCAAACAGAGACCCATAGAATCACGCAGAGACCCATAGACTCACAGAGAACCATAGACTCGCACAGAGACCCCTAGACTCACAGAGAGACCCATAGACTCGCACAGAGACCCATAGACTCGCACAGAGACCCATAGACTCACACAGAGACCAATAGACTCGCACAGAGACCCATAGACTCGCACAGAGACCCATAGACTCACACAGAGACCCACAGACTCACACAGAGACCCGTAGACTCACACAGAGACCCATAGACTCACACAGAGACCTGTAGACTCACAGAGAGACCTGTCAACTCACACAGAGACCCATAGACTCACAGAGAAACATATACTCGCGCAGAGACCCATAGACTCACAGAGAACCATAGACTCGCACAGAAACCCATAGACTCGCAAAGAGACCCATAGACTCATACAGAGACCCATAGACTCACACAGAGACCCATAGACTCACACAGAGACCCATAGACTTGCACAGAGACCCAAAGACTCGCACAGAGACCCGTAGACTCACACAGAGACCCATAGACTCACAGAGAGATCCATAGACTCGCGCAGAGACCCATAGACTCACAGAGAGATCCATAGACTCGCGCAGAAACCCATAGACTTACACAGAGACCCACAGACTCACACAGAGACCCATAGACTCGCACAGAGACCCATAGACTCGCAAAGAGACCCATAGACTCACAGAGACCCATAGACTCCCACAGAGACCCATAGACTCACACAGAGACCCATAGACTCACAGAGAACCATAGACTCACAGAGACCCGTAGACTCGCACAGAGATCTCTAACGAATGTAGAATGATCATCATAATCACAGTAGCGATGACTCACCACTCCGCTCCGGGCAATCTTGCGCAGCCCTCCGGCAATACACAAGTGTGAAAACACCCCCGACGTCACCGTGCCATCAAACCCAACAATGGTTTCAAACGTGTGGCGGCCCTCACACTGACGATGTGTTATGCGCCCCCCCCCCCCCCCGCCATGAAAATAAGTGAAGAACGCCCCTCCAGATCGACGTCGTCAGGCGGAACGAAGGAGGCAGCAGCAGTTGGAGGAGGAGGGAGGAGGAGGGGGGATGAGGGGGGAGGGAGGGGGGAGGGAGGGAGGAGGAGGGAGGAGGAGGAAGGAGGGGGGAGGAGGGGGGAGGAGGGAGGAAGGGGGAGGGAGCAGGAGGGGGGAGGAGGGGGGAAGAGGGGGGAGGAGGGGGGAAGAGGGGAGAGGGAGGGGGGAGTGAGGGAGGGAGAGAGGGGGGAGGAGGGAGGGGGGAGGTGGGGGAGGAAGGAGGAAGGGGGAGGAAGAGGGGGAAGGAGGGAGGAGGAGGGAGGAGGAGGGGGGAAGAGGGGGGAGGGAGGAAGGGGGAGGGAGCAGGAGGGGGGAGGAGGGGGGGAAGAGGGGGGAGGAGGGGGAAGAGGGGAGAGGGAGGGGGGAGTGAGGGAGGGAGAGAGGGGGGAGGAGGGAGGGGGGAGGTGGGGGGAGGAAGGAGGAAGGGGGAGGAAGAGGGGGAAGGAGGGAGGAGGAGGGAGGAGGAGGGGGGAAGAGGGGGAGGGAGGAAGGGGGAGGGAGCAGGAGGGGGGAGGAGGGGGGAAGAGGGGGGAGGGAGGGGGGAGGGAGGGAGGGAGGGAGGGGGGAGGAGGGAGGGGGGGGGAGGAAGGGGGAGGAGGAGGACGAAGAGCAATAAAAACAAGAAGAATGAGAAAAAGAGAAAGGAGGACTGCGCTTTGTGGAGCTGTGGACACGGGGCGATCTCTGGCGTCAGGGGCCGCTCACCTCGACGGCGCTCGTGTACAGCTTGGTGTCGATCTTCGCTATCGGCCGTGGCGACTTGAGGCTGTAGCTGTGGACAGGAGTTGCAACGCCGTTAGGCCCTCCCGTCGTTCATCCGAGCTCGTCATCACCGATCGTCGTCGGCGGTGCAGGCATTTTGTCGTTGCCTCTGCCCCCCCCCCCCCCCCCCCCACCACAGCGTGGCCCTGGCATGGCCCCAGTACAGCTCGGTTGTGCAGTAGCGCAAGGGGGGGGGGGGGGCAATGTGTGCGAGACGACGACGAGGGGGTCGAGGGGGGGGTCACATCACTCACCTCCGCTGCACCGTTTTGTTCAGGAACTCGGATCGGTCGCTGATCTGCAAAAGCGCAACACGCAAACTCCACGTCACTAGGGCTCGCATCCGAGGGCCACTGCCCCACCACTCTCCCCACCCTCCCCCCACCCTCCTCCCCCGCCTCCCACCCCTCTGTGGTTATTCTGCAGGCACTCAGTGTCAAGATGTTAACTACCTCGCCTGGTGTACAGGAGGTCGTGGGTGCGATCCCGACCCTGATGCCTGCTGCTGTATTTTTGGAGTTTGCGTCTCTCATCATCATCACGGTGGCTAGGAGATGTTAACTACCTTACCTGTTGTACAGGAGGTCGTGAGTTCGATTCCGACCCTGACGCCTGCTGCTGTATATATGGAGTTTGCGTCTCTCATCGTCATCACGGTGGCTAGGAGATGTTAACTACCTTACCTGTTGTACAGGAGGTCGTGGGTTCGATTCCGACCCTGACGCCTGCTGCTGTATATTTGGAGATTGAGTGTCTCTCATCATCATCACGGTGGCTAGGAGATGTTAACTACCTCGCCTGGTGTACAGGAGTTCGTGGGTTCGATCCTGACCCTGACGCCTGCTGTATAATGGATCTTGCGTGTCTCTCTCCCCGTGGATATATATTCGGGCCCTCCAGGTTTTCCCTCCAGATTCAGAATCGACGTCGCGAGTTTATTTGGGTGCTGCTATAAATGTCCACGTGATGGTGATGATGATAATGAGCCCACTCTATTGACATATCATTTGTGATATCCAGAGCTACACAGCTCAGCGGGGTCTTACCTGGTAAAATAAAAAATAAAAATTGTTTCATGAAAGTTACGTCTTTCATGAAACACGGAACCCTAGTTCCGTGTCTCTCTCCGCAGAGAGCAAATCTAACCGCTGTGCGAGGATCAACTTTTATATGTTTGTGGCTGCAGACCCGGAAGGAGGATGTTCTTCCATTAGACGGGTTTGCTGGACGATGTCATGGGACGTGAGTCGGTGGATAATCGCACGCTCACGCATGCAGGCATGCATGCACGCGCAACTCTAACACACGTGCGGCAACTCCGCCAGAGGAGCGATGCAAGGTCAGGGGTCAAACTACACGAGAGCGAGGTCAGAAGTCAAACTGCGAGAGCGAGGTCAGGGGTCAAACTGCGAGAGCGAGGTCAGGGGTCAAACTATGAGAGCAAGGCCAGGGGTCAAACTGCGAGAGCGAGGTCAGGGGTCAAACTACACGAGAGCGAGGTCAGGGGTCAAACTGCGAGAGCGAGATCAGGGGTCAAACTGTGCGAGCGAGGTCAGGGGTCAAACTGTGCGAGGTCAGGGGTCAAACTGTGCGAGCGAGGTCAGGGGTCAAACTGCGCGAGCGAGGTCAGGGGTCAAACTGCACGAGCGAGGTCAGGGGTCAAACTGCGCGAGCGAGGGCTTCACGGGAGAGAGGAATGTGCATGTACATAGCGGCCTCTAGCGGCCGCAGCAGCGTAGTCAACGGGTCAACCCCGCACATTTAAAAGGGGTGCAAGAGATCGTCGCGATCGCCAAGGTAAGAGCTGGAATACCGAACGGCGATTCGACGGCGGTGCAGCCCCCGCTCGTGGGCAGTTAGTTGGGGCATGGGGGGGGGGGGTTGCGGGGGAGAGGGTGGGGGGTGGGAATGAGTTAAAGACGTCGGAACGATGGGGGGCACACACACGGTGGACACGACCCGAGACCAGGTTTCCCTTCCACTCTGCCGTTTCCGTTTCGCATCCCCCCCGGGGCAAGGCCGTTTTCAAGAACGCACGCCGCACTTGCTGGGATTCGGACGCCGTGAAGCGGGCGGTGAGGGGCGCCGTGGTGGCTACGAGATGTTAACGACCTCGCCTGGTCTACAGGAGGTCACGGGTTCAATCCCGACCCTGACGCCTGCTGCTGTATATTTGGAGTTTGCGTCTCTCATCATCATCACGGTGGCTATGAGATATTCTTAGGTGTTTTCGGTTAAAGTCACGTAGGTAAAACATTAAAATTAATAAAAGTAAAATAAAATAAAAATCACGACGTTTCGGAGGCAACACAAGTCTCAGTCATCAGGTGGGACCGTCACAGCCAGATTTGCTGCATCAAGTGAGGCAATGATTCAAGATGTAATCCCTTAAAAGCAAGTTGAGGGGGGAGGAGAGGGGGGGGGGAGCTCATCAGAATGTGGTAGCCAATGAATGAAACGTATCGGGAGGGAGGGGGGCAACTTGCTTTTAAGGGATTACATCTTGAATCCCTGCCTCACTTGATGCAGCAAATCTGGCTGTGACGGTCCCACCTGATGACGGAGACTTGTGTTGCCTCCGAACGTCGTGATTTTTATTTTATTTTACTTTTATTAATTTTAATGTTTTACCTACGTGACTTTACCGAAAACACCTAAGAATATGAATCCTTGCAGTCACGAAAGCTTCAAATCTGGCTATGAGATGTTAACTACCTCACCTGGTGTGCAGGAGGTCGTGGGTTCGATCCTCACCCCGACGCCTGCTACTGAATATTGGAGTTTGCGGTGTCTCTCTCTCTCTCCCCATGGTCACGTGGAATTTTCTCCGGGTCCTCCGGTTTTTTTTTCGCCTCCGCGTTTACAATAGACGTTTAGAGTATCTGTCTGACGTCAATTTCCACGCGACGACGACGACGATGTTCATGAGCCCACTGCGTTGAGCTATCATTTGTGATGGACAGCATTGAGCTACGTTGCTCAGTGGGGCCTTACCTGGTAAAATATTAAAATTTTAGTTTAATAAAAAACCAGCCCGCCAACCCCCGGGGGCTCGGACCGCGAGCCTCCGCAAGGAGCGCCCCCGGCAGCAGGGAAACAAGCCGCAGGCTGCAACAAAAACGCAGCCGGCGTGTGCCCCCCAATGTTCCGAGCGGGTTAGTACTAGCAGCCAGACGCTGTGCCGGGAGATGGAGCAGCCACGCACGTGCGCGCGCACACAGACAAACAGACAGGATTAAGGTGTCAAAACCAGAGACCGCCACGGGGGAATTTCAACTCACCGCCACCAAAGCCTCGGGCTCTCCCAGCTCCTCAAGATCGGTGCCCTGAGAGAGAAGAGGAATAGCCACACACAGAGAGAGAGAGAGAGAAAGAGAGAGAGAGGCAAAACAGCGACCAAAAGAAAACCACCCGATTACACCTGGCGCGACAATCACGTCGCTGTACCCGGCCCAAGCCACACGCTCAGACAGCGACAGAGCAGAGGGGGGGGGGGTGCAGTTAGATAAGAGGATGGGGAACGTGGGGGGGGGGGGGGTGTGGCAGGGGTGGTGGTGGTACCACTCGGGTTGCCACCTGTTCTTGGGTTTTCCCGGGAACTTCCGCTTGTTGAGCAAGGCAGCTGGCTGCTGCTGCTGCTGCGGCAGCTGTACCGGGGTAAAAATTTAATCTCTTCAAGTCTTCGCGGGAACAGTTGTGGGAATAATAATGATGATGACGATGACGATGCACATTCAAGACGTAGTTCTGCCCTGCCCTTCTAACTTCCTGGATTTCATTCCCAACTTCCCGGATTTCATTCCCAAACTTCCTGGATTTCATTCCCAACTTCCCGGATTTCATTCCCAACTTCCTGGATTTCATTCCCAACTTCCTGGATTTCATTCCCAAACTTCCTGGATTTCATTCCAAACTTCCTGGATTTCATTCCAAACTTCCTGGATTTCATTCCAAACTTCCTGGATTTCATTCCCAAATTCCTGGATTTCATTCCAAACTTCCTGGATTTCATTCCAAACTTCCTGGATTTCATTCCCAAATTCCTGGATTTCATTCCAAACTTCCTGGATTTCATTCCAAACTTTCTCGATTTCATTCCGACTTCCCGGATTTCCTTCTAATCCTTGGCAAGCTGGTTTAATCATAGCCCAGTCTATGTAAGTCTACGGGGTCCTTATACAGGTAAATAGGTCCTCTGTGTGAGTCTATGGGTGTCTTCATGACTGTATAGGTCTCGAGTTTACAGTTTTCGACGCAAGTCTTTGAGTCTCTTTGTAAGTCTATGGGGTTCTATACAGGTCACTGGTGACCGAGCTGATACCAGCATTTCGATTTAAAGCTTTCGTGACTGCAGGGATTCATCTTTGTCAAGGCGCCCTTCCTCCCCTAACCCAGTTTAAATATACGCTGCCAAGCTTGGTGGTGTTCATTCAGACGCTGTCTTTCCGACAGACCTGTTCTTCACCTGAGGATGGCTGCTTGCGTTGTGGCCGAAACGTCGTGAGAATTGTATTTTATTGTGTTTAATTTTTATTATTTTATTATTTCCATTCTACATGACTTTACCGAAAGAACCAAGAAGCTGATACCATCAATTCGCTACAATCGAGAACCCGGTTTAATTACAGGCAGCGGTTTCAAACCCGGACTCGAACCCAGGCTCTCAGGCAGTGCCGGCTCTTAGAGCCACGCTTCAAGAAAACAGAATTTAGTTTTTAAATCCTTTATATTAAGTTCACTTGCTTGCGCGCTTACGACCGTGCAAATCTTTCGGTCGTTTTTTAACCCACTTCCCGTGATCCAATCGAGCTGACATTTGCACACAGACTCGTTGTGCGTGACAATTTATTTTCGTGAAAATTTTTTTCCAAAATTTTACACTTTTTAGGAAAAAATAAATATATTTAATTACCAATTGCTTAATGGTGGCAGGCAATCATCTGACCCATAGGTGGCAGCCATCTCAAGCCAGAGGACGAGAGGACTCTAGCCGCCACGCATATAAAGGATTTATAGTGAAAAACTTTGTTTTTACGGGTTAATTTTTCACATCTCATTCCGACCATGTCTCGTTTGCGCCCTCTGTCTCTCGTTCCTTCCGCTCGATTTGCTCCCGCTCGTCACCCCCAGTGATGGAGCTGGAGCTCTACTCGTCAGATGGATTCCGACGATAATTCCCATCAAGCTCCGGGCCGATCGACGAGTTTAAGGCGCGCAGGAACTCAGCTGAAGCGGAACATCTCCGCCTGCCTCGGGGAGCCTCCGCACACACCAGGGAGGATCTTTATGTCCCCCCCCCGCCCCCCCCGGCATCCGAAGGCAACGAGAAAGATTCGAAGACAAATCAGGAGGCGGCAGCAGGCAACTGGAAGGGGGCAGGAACACCAAAGCGCGACCCGGAAGGTACCAAGAGATGCGTAGGGAAAGCAGGAGGAAATGGGCATCACAGCGGCCAGGAGATGTTGACTACCTCGCCTGGTATGCAGGAGGTCGTGGGTTCGATGCCGACCCTGACGCCTGCTGCTATATATTTGGAGTTTGCGTGTCTCTCTCTCTCTCTCATCATCATCACGGTGGCGAGGAGATGTTGACTACCTCGCCTGGGATGCAGGTGGTCGTGGGTTCGATCCCGACCCTGACGCCAGCTGCTGTATATTTGGAGTTTGCGTGTCTCTCTCTCTCTCTCATCATCATCACGGTGGCGAGGAGATGTTGACTACCTCGCCTGGGATGCAGGTGGTCGTGGGTTCGATGCCGACCCTGACGCCCGCTGTATAATTGGAGTTTGCGTCTCTCTCTCTCTTCCCGTGGTCACGTGGATTTTTCTCCGGGTCCGTCCGGTTTTCCCCCTCACGCGTTTTAGAGTATTCGGCTGCTACGATAAATTTCCACGCGACGACGACGACGATGATGATGACGATGACGATGATGACGACGACGATGATGATGACAATGATGACGACGACGACGACGACGATGATGACGATGATGACGACGATGATGACGACGACGACGATGACGACGATGAGCCACTTTGCGTCGAGCTATCCATTTACGATGGCCAAGTCGCTTCTGAAAACGAGAGCTACGTAGCTCAGTGCATCCTTACCTGCTAAGAGCATGCAACACAAAACGTAAAAACGCAATTGAATAAAAACCAGCTAACACGAGGGCGCGGGGAAAACTCCGTCACCTTGCGGCTGGGCGTACGGAAGCTGCGCGTGACCCCGTGACCCCGCGAGGCGAATCCGCCGGGTGGTTCCTCCTCCTCCTCCTCCTCGTTTGTCGAACGACGCGGAGCGGCGGGCGGAGCGATGCGCTCGGCTTGTCCGCCCCCTCGGAGCGCTCGGAGCGCTCGGAGGCTCCGGCCTTCGTGGAGCTCCGGCTCCAGACGCTGGGCGGCGATGAAGATGGCAACAGCAGCAGCAGCAGCAACAAAAATGGTTGAGAGGAGAATTGACGGGGCGCGCCGCGGCGTTGAACGGCATTGAGTCGCGCGTGTGACAGCCACTTCGCAATCCATGCCACCCGCCCACCAACCACCCGCCTGCCTGCCCACCCACCCCCCCACCCTACCCACTCACCCACCCACTCACCCTACCCACTCACCAACCAATCAACCGACCAATCCACTCACCAACTCACCAACCCACTCACCAAACTCACCAACCAACTCACCAACTCACCAACCCACCAACTCACCCACCCACTCACCCATCCTCTCACCCATCAACCCACTCACCCTACCCACTCACCAACCAATCAACCGACCAATCCACTCACCAACCCACCAACTCACCAACCCACTAACCCAACTCGCCAACTCGCCAACTCACCAACCCACCAACCCACCAACTCACCCACCCACTCACCCATCCTCTCAACCCACCAACCCACTCACCCATCCACCCACTCACCCATCCACCCACCCACCATCACCAACCTGTGCGTCGATCAGAGCTGGTGAGTGAAACTCCCCCCGAGTGTGGGAGACGAGCTCACGGCGGCGGAGGGAGGTGGGGGGGGGGGGGGGTGAGCGGGCGACACACCGACGACCATACCTGGTGCGCCCTCCGGCGTGATAGGGCTCAGCGTCACGCTCGCCACGCTCGCCCCGCTCCGTCCGCTCCGTCCGCTCCGTCCGCTCCTGTCCGCTCCGTCGCTCCACCCGCTCCACCCGTTCCATCCGCTCCACGCCGCTGGTGTCGTCGTTGCGAGAACGCTGCTGCTGCTGCTGCCACCTTTACCTCCTCCTCCTCGCGCGCTCCCCGAGCTGCTGCCCAAGCAACCCGCGGACCGCTGCCCTGTCCCTCCTCGCTGTGACATCACGACGGCCGGAGGGTGGGGGTCGGGGGGGTGGGTGTAGGCGGGGGAAAGCGGGGCGCAGGGGCAAGGTGCGGAGTGGGAACGGAGGCACAGGGCAGAGGGCAAGGGGCAGAGGGGCAAGGGGCAGAGGGCAGGGGGCAGAGGGCAGGGGGCAAGTGGCAGAGAGTAGGGGACAGAAGGCACGGGGCAGAGGGCAAGGGGCAGAGGGCAAGGGGCAGAGGGCAAGGGTCAGAGGGCAGGGGCAGAGGGCAAGGGTTAGAGGGCAAGGGGCAGGGGGCAGTGGGCAGGGTAGAAACAAGGTACAGGTGTGAGGCAGAGCTTCATTTCTCACTCGATATTTTTCTGACAAGCTGCTCAGGCTGGCTTGGAGTCCCCGATGGATCATATCGGCGTAAGGCACTACCACCACCACCACCACCATACCGCTGTACCCGCTACCATTGCAATAAATCCTGCCGAGGACACAGCGTGCCTCGTGAGGATGAAACGGAATGCGGCCTGGACGTGCCAGTAGCGTTCCCGGAATGGTGATCCGGACCTGTTTACGGCTGAAATCGAGCGCTGGTTCAGAGGTCGGACGAAGGTGAGATCAGGTGAGCTCAGGTGTGCCGCCGGAGAGGTCCGCGAGGAAAAGCCAGGGGAGCGGTGGGTGCAGCGGTTAGCGCTACGCTGCGATACGAACCCGGCGACCCGGGTTCGATTCCCGCTAACGGCCAACACCGGTGACGATTATCGAACCGGTCCTGGTCCTCCCCTAGGTCGACTCGGCCTCAAACGAGTACCTGGTGCTGTGTGTAAACATCGCCACTGGGGAGACAAAGGCGGCCGGGCGTGGTGCTGGCCACCCGCTCCCTCGTTGTGCCGTGCCGGCCTTCATAGGTGCTTGCTAACAGCACTTAGCCCCAACAGTATGTTGAGGCTATACGGGGGAGCTTTGTCTTGCACGTATTTTGTGTGCGGACGCTCTGCTGAACCTGGAACATGCTACCAACAGATGGGGCCTTTTCGATGTAAAGCTTTCGTGACTGCAGGGATCATCTTCTTGGTTCTTTCGGTAAAGTCATGTAGAAGGGAAGTAATAAAATAATAAAAATAAAACATAATAAAATAATTCTCACGACGTTTCAGCCACAATGCAAGCAGTTTCATTCTTCACCTGAGGACGGCTGCTTGCGTTGTGGCCGAAACGTCGTGAGAATTATTTTATTATGTTTTATTTTATTATTTTATTACTTCCCTTCTACGTGACTTTACCGAAAGAACCAAGAAGATGGGGCCTTACCATCAGCCCCACAGAATCAAAGCACCTGCCTGGGTATTTTTACGTCATCAGATGTTCCGCTCCCCTCGGCTGCACGTGAGTGATGGGGCAGTTGCGGACACAGTGGAGACGTTTACATGCTTGGGCAGTGTGCTCATGACCAGCTCTGGTTTTGCAGCCGAGGTATCACGCCGAGTTCAGTCGAGTGGCCTTATCTTTTCATCTGCTGCGTAACGCTGCGTGCAAGCTATGCGGCTGAGTCATGTAGCCCGCATGCCCAGCCACGGCATGCCCAAAGCAGCTTCTGTTGGCCCGGATAGCCTGAGCTAAACGGGTGCGGCGCGGGCTGGAGAAGAGATGGACAGATGCGGTTGTGGAGGATGCCAACACAGCCGCTGACTGGTACCAGCGGTTGTCAAAGATCGGCCTCTATGGAGGAGGTTCGTGAAGGACGCTGCTACTGGGCGGTTGGAGGCAGTCGACCCTCCAACAACAACGGAGGGCGGAGGAGCGACGCTCACAACACGAGCGGAGCGCTGGGCAGCTAAAACAGCGAGTTGGCACAGTAGGGGGCATAGGTGGTGCATCTTTCAGTTTTTTTATTGTTTTGTTGTACGGAACGTGGGTAATTGATGTGCACCATGCGGGATGCAATTGCATGCATGGCGCTAGTCAAACAAAATTATTGTTATTATCTCAGCCAACCCATGGGTCTGTCCCGTGAGTGACTCTTGTTGGCGAGCCTTGGACACTTCACATCGCCTCTGAGTGCACCAGGCCTGGCACAAGCACCGTGGTGACCATCACCGCCACTCAAGGGCCAATGGCGCTCTCGTTGTCGTTGTGTGAGTGTCCGTGCGTGCGCATGAGTGTCCGTGCGTGCGTTTGAGCGCGCGCGCGAGTCCATGTGTGCGAGCGAGTGTGAGTCCGTGTGTGCGAGCGAGTGTGAGTCCGTGTGTGCGAGCGAGTGTGAGTCCGTGTGTGCGAGCGAGAGCGAGCGAGCGTGCGTGCGCAAATGCAGCCAGGGTACAATGAACTGGAGAAGTTTAGACTGCACCTGTTCAAACACCGCGGGACAACGCCGCACGCACGCACGCACACGCACACACGCACACGCGCGGTCAGACAGGAGGACAGAGGACACGCAGACAGAACAAGCCCCCCCACCTCTCTCCCCCAACCCCCCACCACCATCACCCCCCCCACCCCATTACCTCCACGAGCCGCGGTTCCTGGAAAAAGTCAAACGACTCGAAGGGGGAGGGGCGGCTGCGGCTGGGGGGGGGGGGAGAGAAGTTTTTCTACCCACGTGACTTTACCGACAGAACCAAACGGTAATTTACGAAATGTGTCGTAAAAAAAAACAGGTCGCATCTCACCGGCAAGTCACCTGCGGCTGTCAACTTGTCATCTCGGCCTTCGTCGCCCACCGAGAACTTCTCCACACCGGCCCCTCTCCCTTTCCACTCCTCGGCCTTCTCGTGCTCGGCATCGTCCCCCCACTCCTTCCTCTCCTTCCGCTTCTTCCCCTCCGCCTCCTCCTCCTTCTCTCCTTCTCCCGCTCTTCCCTCTCCCTCTGCTCCCTCTCCTTCTGCTTCTTTCTCTCCGCCTCCTCCTTCTCCTCCCTCTCCCGCTCCTCCCCTCCTCCTCCTCCCTCCTTCCTCTCTTTCTGCTTCTTTCTCTCTGCCTCCGCCTTCTCTCCTCCTTCTCCCGCTCTTCCCTCTCCCTCTGCTTCCTCTCCTTTTTCTTCTTTCTCTCCGCCTCCTCCTTCTCCTCCCTCTCCCGCTCCTCCCTCTCCTCCCTCTCCTTTCTCTCCTTCTGCTTCTTTCTCTCCACCTCCCTTCTCCCGCTCCTCCCTCTTCCTTCCTTCCTCTCCCTCTCCTCTTCCTCTCTGCCTCCTCCTTCTCCTCCTTCTCCTCCCTCTCCCGCTCCTCCTTCTTCCGCTCTTCGCGCTGCCCCACGGCCCGGGTGGCGCCCGACGTCGAGGTGGAAGAGGTGGGGGAGGTGGCTCCTCCCGCCGGCGCCACATCTTCGCCGGCGCCGTCGTCGCGCGTCTCACGCTCGCGCCGCCTGCGCTCGGAGAAGCCCTCGTCGTCGTCGTCGTCTTCATCGGTGTTCCGCCCTTTGACCCCGGCAGCGATCGGAGTCGAAGGCTTCACGGCCTGGGATCTGGAACGATGCGAGAGGGACAGCGGTTGAGGTTGTAGAGAAGCATCTGGTCGTTGGCAGGGACCCTCAACCCGTGGCATTTTAACCATGGCATTTTAACTGTGGCATTTCAACCGTGGCATTTTACCCGTGGCATTTTAACCGTGGCATTTTAACCGTGGCATTTTAACCATGGCATTTTAACCGTGGCATTTTAACCGTGGCATTTTAACCGTGGCATTTTACCCGTGGCATTTTAACCGTGGCATTTTAACCGTGGCATTTTAACCGTGGCATTTTACCCGTGGCATTTTACCCGTGGCATTTTAACCGTGGCATTTTAACCGTGGCATTTTAACCGTGGCATTTTACCCGTGGCATTTTACCCGTGGCATTTCAACAGTGGCATTTACCTGTGGCATTTTAACCGTGGCATTTTAACCGTGGCATTTTAACCGTGGCATTTTACCCGTGGCATTTTACCCGTGGCATTTTACCCGTGGCATTTTACCCGTGGCATTTCAACCGTGGCATTTTAACCGTGGCATTTTTACCGTGGCATTTTAACCGTGGCATTTTAACCGTGGCATTTTAACCGTGGCATTTTAACCGTGGCATTTTAACCGTGGCATTTCAACCGTGGTACTTTTACCTGTGGCATTTCAACAGTGGCAGTTCAACCGTGGCATTTCAGCAGTGGCATTTTACCCTTGGAATTTCAACCATGCTATTTTACCCATGGAATTTCAATCACGGCATTTCAAACGTGGAATTTCAACCGCGGCATT